CGCCACGCCACGCCACGCCGCACCCCGCCCGTGGCGGCTCCGGCTCGGGTCCGGGTAGGGTGTTTACCAGTGTGATGCCTCCTGGACCTGGATCACAGGATCAGGATCAGGATCAGCAGACGACCCCGGCAGCCGGCCCACCCGCCGCCACCTCGCCCGCCACGCACAGTTATTTGCAAAATCCATCTTCGGCACGCAGAGCTCCAAACAGCTGCTACCCTTTTTATTATCACCGACAACTTGTTGCTTATTATTATTCCTCGTTCGTCGTGCCGGGGGGTCAACGGTCGTCGTGCTCGGTCAAAACAAAGAAAGGTGTGCACGAAACAGAAAGGTGACGATAAGTCGTAACGCACGACACCGAAATATTTATTGTTGAGAAAATACTAAATATTTCCCTTTCCTTGGTTTGTTCTGACTTTTTCTGTGTTTTTTTTTTTCAAGTGCCCACCGACTTTTTTTAGAGTGAAGTACCTTGTAAGTGCATCCCTGCCTATCGAGGAAAGCTAACTGCTCATGACGGCCACCACAAGTTGGCGCACCACTTCACTTTGTCGCTGTGCGTATCGCCGCCGACACTCGTGGCGGTGATCCGCGGTGCGGTCCGTCGCGTGGCCGTGCGTCGGACTCGTATCCTATCTCTGACATTCCACCCACAGTGCAGAGAACTTATGCTCAGCTCGACCCGCCACCCGCAGCCGCATCCAGCTCCGTGACTCAGGTCGCCGACAGCGCCGTCTCATCCCTTGAAAGATGACGATATCGATGTTGGCGAGAGAATGAGAATCACGGAGCAAAACAGCCGGTCAAGTCAAACTTTGGCGCCGGGCCGGCGTTTAGCGAATGAAAGCAGCGCGCGCGGTATCTTGACGGGTAGACGGACGGACTGGTCCCCCGTAGACGGGCGGGCGGGCCCGGGCTAGACGGCTTGGCACGTTCTTGCTATCCCGTACACTGTCGGAAATCACGCGACGTTCTCTGAAAGTCCCGCCCGCCACGCCGCGCGCCAGCAGCTTGATAGGGCCACCCGCCAGGTAGGCAGTACAGTTGCGCTCGCCTGCACTGCGGCGTTGCCTTCCCGACTGATGGCAGGCGCTCTAAAGAGCCGCCCGCCAGGTAGGCACTACAGTTGCGCTCGCGTGCACTGCGGCGTTGCCTACCCGACTGTTGGCAGGCGCTCCATAGGGCCGCCCGCCAGGTAGGCAGTACAGTTGCGCTC